GCAAAATTTCTTAACAAGACAGAAACAATAAAACAAACAAATAATTAGAACGTGTTGCTTTAATAAGATAAATTTATTATATTAGGATAAGCCCCTTGAAGTGTATCACCTCGTTTTCAAGGGGGTCCCAAACAGATGTTTACAAAGACACAGGTACAACACAGCAATACAAAACAAACACATAACACACTACAGACGAAACAAATAAAGTAATACATATAACAAAAAAACAAAACACAAAAAACTTTAAGAGATTTTGGAGGATTTTCATATCTTAAAAAACACATTTTCTCAAAAGGCCTTTAGCTTTTTGTATTCATGTGTTTTCAGAAATTAAAAATGTCTTTAAAAAAACATTAAGAAAACAGAAAGATCTCACAGAAAAAACTGAGCATTGAATTAATTTATTAATTAGCGTCAAAATGCAATTTGAGAGCGTGAGACGGACAAGCCGCAGAGAGTTCACAGCTGTTTTCTTTTTCCCCTTTCGTGTCCCTCGTCGGGCCTTTGGGTGAACAAACGGCGTGAAAACAAAAATGTGCAACACTCGGATCACAGAAAACCACAAAACCCTACATGAGGATATTTCCCCACAGTGGCTGTCACACACCGCCGTACCCCCGGACTCAGGTCACCGACTCCCTGAATCACTGAGTCAAGATAAAAACTGTTATCCTGTCATACTTCTAGTCGACTCTTCTTCTTTTTAAAATATTTATTGTTTAATTTTGTCTCTTCACCTGACAGTCACATGTGGTGGAGTTTAGATTTATTTTTCATGTGATTGAATATATTTACAGCTGAGTGATAACGAGACGAGGTCGAGGTCAAACATTTTAAAACACTCGACTTCTGACGGCGGTTTGTGTTTGATTTAAATGTGTCACTTAATTAAATTCATGTTTCATTCTGTGATTGTCGCTGATTGGTCGCTGCGACCCGATGAAACATGTTGACACTGTCTCATGCTTTCTTCTTTTTTATTTGAAACGGCGTCACATTTCTCCTTCTCTCTCCGAGAAGGAGAAGAAGGAGAGTGTTTTTGTTCTTCGTCACTGCCTGAACTCAAAATCTTCTCACATTTCAAATCTCACAAAAAAAGGTGAGAGCAAAGCTGAGCTGCTGCACGCACTTTTTAAAACTGTGTCTTAAATCTGTAGTTTAAATCATTTTATAGTATTTTCTTATTGTTGTTTACGTGTTTTAAGAAGGTAAGATCAGCTGATGAATTCAAGTGTTGCAGCAGAAAAGAGAGAAGAAGAAGAAGAAGAAGAAGAAGAAGAAGAAGAAGAAGAAGAAGAAGAAGAAGAAGAAGAAGAAGAAGAAGAAGAAGAAGAAGAAGAAGAGCGTGCATGAGTCAATAAAAATCAGAATAGAGAGGAGTAAAATAAAAATACTTTGTCTGTAAATATAAAGTTTACACTGCTGGACGACCCGAAGAAGATACAGGCCAAACGATCAAACACAGAAGAGTTAATTTGTGCCACAGAGTTTTGATTTGTTCCTCCTGAGAGCGTGTTCAGGATGAGCACAAGGTTCCCTGTCAGCCGTTTAGATTCTTTAATATGTTGAAAATGTCTGAAGACGTTTTCTTAAAGAAAAGACGAAGCAGAGGAAACTGTTTCTACTCCTTCAGTTTCATTCAATACTTTCCTCGACACACACACCTGAAAACTGTTTGTTGATGATGTCATCATTATCTGATCTTGTTCTCAAAGGGTTAATGACCCGGGTCAATAAAGGTCAAATAAAAACATGCAGTAAATAAAACACCTTCAGATTATTTTATGATCTTTAGTCCTGACTCTCTCGTTTTATTTATGAAGCCTTCCTCAGCTCAGACATGTGTTTCCTTTATCTGTTAATAATAAAAAATAATCTGTTTCAGATTCATCATTAATTTCGATTTGAGGAGAACGAGTTTGAATTATTTGTTTCGTTAGTTAAAAAAATAAAATAAATTAACAACCTGTATTTAAACATATTTATAAATCAAAAGTAGTTTTCAGCGTCAGGATGATAAAATGTTTGTCAAAAAAGAAAAAAAAGAAAAGAAACGGATAATAACTGAAAATGATTTCAAATAAAGAGCTTTTACAGCATTCACAGAAATATTACCGGGGATGAGGAGGGGGAGAGGGGTTGGGGGTGGAGGAGGGTAGGAGGGGTGGAGGTATGAGTGGGAGGGGGTGAGGAGGTGGGGGAGGAGAAGGTTGTGTCGGGGGACCCCCCCCCCCCCCCCCCCTTCACCCTCACACTCCCCCTTCGCAGGTCAGGGATTTGTCCCGAAAGAACGGAGCCTCATTTGGAAACCAGATTGCCATCTCCTCCTCTCCCCCCTCCCCCCCCCCACACCCTCCTCCCCCCCTCCTGCTCAGTTATTCGTCCGTTTAAAAAGAAGTCTGAGCTTTTTATTGAAGACAGAAACCTGCAGGATATTCTTTTAAATCATTTTGAAATCATGATTTTGAAGTGATTTTTTATTTTTTATTTAATTGAAATAAAAATAATTAAAAATAAACTCACCACATCATCCTCCTCTCCTCTCCTGCTCCTCCTTCGTGTGTTTTCTCGTTTTTCCACTTTTCCTCTCCTCTCTTTTTCTTCTTTTTCTTTCCTCTTAGTTTGAGATCACGAAGTATAACCGATTGTTTCCTCCTCGCTCCGTTTTTCTCTCCTTCCTTTTCCTCTTCCTCACTTTTTTGTTCATCCTTCTTTTCTCTCTGAGCGTCATCCTAAAATAAAATCTTCTCTTTTCTCTTCCTCCTCTCAGATTATTTGTCTGTCTCTGGAATCATAAATCTTCCCGTCTCCTCATTTCTTCCTCTTTCAGTTTGCTCAGATTTCTCTCCTCCTCCTCCTCCTCCTCCTCCTCCTTCTTCTCTCCTCTCTCTTTTCCTTCCTCCTCTCGTCATTTTTCTCCTCCTCTGTCCGGACTCGGTCCACCCCTCAGAGCCTCAGAGGCCTTTCGCCCCCTGAAGACCGGAGCTTTTACTCTGAAAGCCTGTCTCACTCTCTCCGTCTGTGGCTCTAAAAAACCTTTCAGGATGAAAACCTCGTTCAGAGATCTGAAGGGTCATGAACACAGAAACACATTTTTATGTCTTTGGGATCAAGTTTTTTCCCCCCAAAGAATCAAACGTCTGCAGTGAATTCAGATTATTTCAAACTAAAACTGTAAATTTTGGATCTCTTGTTTGAGATCGTTTACACCCACAGGAAGTGACCATCAGCCTGTGATGAGTTCTGTCAGGTGGGACGAAGGTTGTTTACCTGTAAAAAAACAAAACAAAAAAACAACGTGTACGTGTGTGTCATTATAAACACTGTTAACTTTGGAGTTCCTCAGGGCTCACTGCTCGGCCCACTGCTTTTTAATGTTTACAGGATTTATGGACTCGCGTAAACCTCTACGCTGATGATACACCGCTGTATCCTCACACACACACACCAAACACACACTTTTATCCCAATGTTGTGTAACAGGAAATAACAAAATAATTTAATTCCTGACATTAAACCAGCTGCTGAGCAGAAAGAGACAAAACCAGTGAAACCAGTTCATGAGCGAGAGAGAGAGAGAGAGAGAGAGAGAGAGAGAGAGAGAGTTAATGACTGCACAAGGACTCTCTCTCTCTCTCTCTGGTTGGTCGGTGCGAGCGCCTGCCTCCTCCCCCTACTCCCCTCCTCCCTCCCCATGCCTTCATCTCTCTCTTTCTCTCTGTTTCTTCCTCTCTCTCCTCGCACACTCTCACTCTCTCACCTCTCCTGTCCTTTTATGGTCAGGCCCCACCCCCCGTGATGTCGTCAGCGGCTCAGAGGAAGACCCGTGGGGTTTTTGGGTTTTGGCGTCCAGTCCTGTGGGGCCGCAGGGCTGAGAGTTTCTCCTCCGCTTCTCATCCCTCCATCACGGCCTCCTCTCCTCCTCCTCTTCCTCTCTTTGGGGAAAAGAAAAAAGACACTTTGCTTGCGCTCGATTCGCCGTGCGGACCCGTCTCTGTTCTTCCCCTCGCTTTTCTCGTCCTCTGAGGATTTTATTTTTCCTTTTTTTCCTCTCCTTCCTTCCTTCCTTCCTTCACGCCGGGTTTAAACATGACGGCAAAGCGGGAGAAGTTTTTAAAATTCCTGAAATCCTGAAAATAAACTTAAAGACAGGAAATCTTTCCAGTCATTCTTTCAGAGTCAAAGTTGAATTAAATCTGTGAAAGAGACAAAAAGTTGTGCAGTTAAATAAAACTCTTATTTTTATCACCGCCTCCTGCTGCACTCATCTTTAATTTTTCTTCTTCTACTCCTTTTTTTCCCGTCGTCCTCCTCTCTCTCTCCATCCTCGCCGGCTGATTTGGGACTTCGAGGCGTTTCCATGTTGAAGAATTCGACTGAGCACGAGCTCGAGCTGTAGAGCTGCTTCTCTCTCTGCCGGACTTTTCTTTTTCTCTTGCTGATTTTTCTTCTTCTTCTTGAGTTTTGTCGACGTGGTCGTGCCATAGCGTCGGCGGTTGGAGCGTCGGGGGCCCCGGAGATGTTCGGGATCCAGGACCAGCTGCCCCGCGGGGCCACGGCCAGCATGAAGGAGGAGCCGCTGGCTGTTCGCTCCTGGATGCACTCGGCCGGCGTGGTGGACGCCAACACAGCCGCTCAAAGGTAAAACTCACACTGCCGCCCCAGAGGGATTCTGGGAGCTGTAGTCCCCACGGACAAACAGCCGCTCAGCCGGTGCGTTCAGAATCGGACGGAGACGTCTTTGAATTAAAATATGTCAGAGCTGATCTCTGCAGACGTTTCAGAATATTTAACACAAGAACACGTTTTAAAATCTTTGTTTTTCACATTTCACATCATCATTCTGACAGTTTGTGATTTTCTGTGATGACGTACTTTAATCTGAATTTAATAAAATGAAAAAAATATTTTTAAATGCTTTGGGGAAAAATTTACATTTCTAGAGAAAGATTAAAAATATTTTCAGGCGTTTCTTGAGTCCAAACATGAAACAGAAAATCCTCAAATTTTATTTTAAAGATCGTCTCCGAGGGTTTCTTGTTGAAGGTGAGCAGAGTTTTTCTCCGTGACGTTAACGGGACGTCTAGAGACAGAGAAAAAAAAAACCTTCTTTTTTATTATTAATGTTTGAATCTTCAGCCGCAGACTGTTCAAGTCAAATCCCTCCTTCAGAAACATTTAGCCTCCTCATTCCTCTCTCTTATTTTATCACCGACGTCTGCGCAGCTGAAGGTCAGAAATAAAATAAAAAAATCAAGTCTGACCCCGAGGCGAGAATCTGAGAGACGGATGAAAGTTCAGACTCTGTTTGGAAAAGAACTAAATCATCTTCCAGTTCCTGAGTTTCTGCAGCTCAGATTTAAAATCCTCTTTGATGATTTAGATTATCGAAACGTGTTTGTTAAAGTCAGGAGGAATTATTCCAGACGTTAAAAAAATCATATAAAGTGTCCTGCAGACGTTCAGACAGCTCAGATCACACGGGATTATTCACACGCTCACATCTGTCACATCTGGAATTTAAGAACAATTTAACATCTTTACTCAAATCTGAAAAATCAAAAAAACGTGAGTGTGAACACGCTGAGACGTTCCGAGCTGCTCGAGGAAATATCCTTCATGTCACATTCAAACTGTAATCAAAGTGATTTTAAATCCTGTGATAATAATTTAATCACAACATTATTTAACTTCAAATGTTTGTTTTTATGAAATCAAACTCTGTGAATATTTGTTAAAAACAACTCAGAGGTGATTTCAGGATTTTAAGGAGAATCTTTTTTTTTTTAACTGTCAGAACATCTGAAGAGATTCACATGTCAGGTTTTTATTTATTTTAAATAATGATTTTATTTACAGAGCATCTTTAAAAAAATAAAATGTTTACAAAGTGTTCTGACGGATGCAGCAAAGAAAGGAAGTCAGGACGACAGCAGAATAAACATCAATAGACGGGACGAGCAAAGAGACGTCTGCAGGAAGAATCAGATTCTCCAGGACGTCGACGCTTTCTTTCTTTATTTTATATTTTAAAAGTGGAAATAAAAATAGACAAATTAAACAACATTAAGAGCGTACTTTCTGTAGGGGCGTGATTTTTTTCCCTCTTAACTGGTTCCACTGGGAAGCCAGCAGCTCAGTCTGCAGGGACCCGGGCTAGGAACAAGAGGGTCGCCGGTTCAAGTCCCGGTTTGGACCAAATCTTGAAAACTGGTCAGGTAGCTGGAGAGGAGCCAGATCACTTCCTGAACACTGCCAAGGGACACTTGATCAAGGCGACCCCCCCTCCACCAGCTCAGGAGCGCTCACTGTGTGTAGCCCCCCCCCCCGACATCTCTCCATCAGTGCAGGTCCACAGGATCCTGTTTGTGCATGTGTGTGTGTGTGTGTGTTAGCTTCTGTGTGTGTGTGTGCTCCATGTCCTACCCCCTTTTTTTTTCTTTCATGCTTTTTAAGTTTATCCAAAGTGAACTCGAGCTTCACAGATAATTAGCTCAGTAACAGTCACTCTAATAATCTGAGATTTTGAACGACAAGATCTGGAGTCAGAATCTGAAACGGTCAGACTAAAAAAAAAAAAACTTTGAGAAGATCCTGATAGTGTACAAAAAATATCAAAGAGCACGCACGTCTGAAAACTTAATTACTGAGAGCTGAACAAAAAAAACATCCAAAGAAAGACAAAGACAAAGTCCAGAAGCTTCTCTGAAGAAATGAAGTTTGATGGAAATATCAGCACATGTCACGTTTCAGGCCCTCGGCCTTCATCACACAGAAAGATCCTGATGCTGAAAATGAGAGTTGAGCCTCACAACACGAGCACGGTGAGTACTACTCTGAAGGCAAGGCAGGTTTATTTCTGTCGCACATTTCTGCATCAAGGCGATTCAAAAAGCTGCACACACACGACATCAGAAGCAAAAAGGGAACATTCAAAAACCACAGAGACGACTTCATCTGGAAATATGTTCAAATAAATAAATAAAGAGATCAAATAAGAGAATGGATGGAATTTGTTAGAATAATTCATTAAATTTAAATTAATTTAAATAAAAGAAGTTCAAACAGAGTGAGAGTTCAGAGTTAAAGTTTAAAGTCTAAATGGTTGACTGAGAGGCCGCTGAGAGAGTTTCAGTTTGCAGGTTTGTTCCAGATTCACGGAGCGTAGAAGCTGAACGCTGCTGCTCCTGGGGACGCAGAGCAGACCGGTCCGAGACCACCTGACCTGACCGGCCCCCCCCCAGCTTCTATACGAGGGTGCAGGAGCATCTTTGCACCCTTGTTTTTTAAATTCCTGCACTCTAACAACAGCTTCTTTCTTTCATTTTTTTTTTACAATAATTAATGACATCATTGACTCACATCGTGTTTACTACATCCAGGATGTGATGCTCATGTCAGGTGCACGTGACCCGTCCGCTCACAGGAGGGCCACAAACAGGAAAACCATGAAACCTACGTTGTTTTTCACTGCTGCAGCCGGTTACTGGAGCTGCTGAACTCCCTTTAATCTCAGATTATTTAGTTCTGGAGACCTGAGCCGTCTGGGTGTTTCGCAGTGACGATCAGTTTAACAAAAAACCGTTCACACAGCAGGAGTTCTATCCGTTACACACTTCAACAGTCGGAGCCTGAATTTTAAATCAGAGCTCGACTGCTTGAACAGTTGACTCAGATTTATTTTTTGTTTCTTCGCATGTTACCTCTGTTTGTTTCTCCGTCTGTAACTTTGTGTTTATGCCTCACTTCACTTGGGGGGGGGGGGCAACAACAACAACAACAACAACAACAACCAGGAAGTGTTTATTCCATACAGAGGAATGGTTTCTCTCTGAACCGCGGAGCAAACTGTCACTTTGTTTTTTAAGATCTTCTTTTTTATTTTATTTTTTTAAGATCTCTGATTTATTCCTTCGTTCATTTTATGCTGTCGAGATTTAAATCTTTAACGCAGACGTTTAACTTCTTTATTTTAATCAGATTTCTACGATAGGAGATCTGATAGCTTACTTTAGGACACAATACGATACACTTTATTATCCCTCCTTGGAGTCAAAGTGCTGCCCGACTTTCAGCTTCTTCCACTTAACCCAATCAGCGGGTCGCGAGCAGCGTAGCGCCACCTGGTGTCCACTTACAAAGTTAAAGTTTAAATCCAAAGAATCAGAATCAAATCTGAAGATCTCAAAGAGCGTCGACTCAAAGCTTCAGCTGCAAACGAGAAAACGACTTCCTGATTTATGAAAAACAAACGTTTAATTTTGATAACTTTAATCTGTTTATTTTCTCAATCTGTGCGTGAGAGGCGTCACTCCGACTCTGTTTCAGTGAAACATTTAAATCCAGATATTTCATGCATCATGTTGAGTTTTAATGACAGAATATGAAGAGATAATGCCGGGCGATGTTTGCAGCCGAGGTCAGAGCTGCAGCTTGACTCGGGCTCCATGAATATTTACGAACATGTTTCAGTGAATTTAAAGTGAATTTGATATTTTCTTAATATCCCCCGAAGTTAACATGTTGTTGTTAACATGATTCATTCATGTGGAGGTCAGAGCCCGAAGCTGCGTGTCACACTTTATGAATATTTCACACTTTTCATTTTTTTTCACCTTTAATTAACATTTACTGTATTTAGTCAAGACGAGCTCTCACTCTGTCGTTTATTTAGAAAACCGATTTCAGTTTGTAGAGTTCATTTCCTCCCACAGACGGTGGATCTTTGTTTTTATTTTAATTATCTTAAATGTGTTTAAACCTTCACTCTGAGTAGAAGAGGAGCGCTTCATGTATCCTCCATCTCCGCACAGATTCAAGTCACTACATTTTTTAAAATCTGTGAAACGATCTCGAACATGTTTCTGTCTGACAGAGGAGAAAACCTTCACAGAGGCGTGGAAACAGTTTATGGAGTTTTAGTTTTGAGTCACTTTTTTAATCCAGACTTCACGTCAGTCGAGTTTTCAAACCGACTATTTTTAATATTTAATTTAATTTCACATTCGATTCATTTTATTCAAAGATGTTTTCTGAAACTGTAAACTTTCATTTAATGTTTTTTTTTTTCAAAATGGTTAATCATCACCTCTCTCTCTCTCTCTCTCTCTCCACCTATCTCTCTTTCTGTTACCTGTCTCTCTGTCTGTCTGTCTCTCAGCGGGGTGGGGTTAGCTCGCGCTCACTTTGAGAAGCAGCCTCCGTCCAATCTGAGGAAATCCAACTTCTTCCACTTCGTGTTGGCGCTGTACGACCGCCAGGGTCAGCCGGTGGAGATCGAACGCACCACCTATGTCGACTTTGTGGAGAAAGAGAAGGTGAGAGGGCCCTAACCCTAACCCACAAAACAAACACACCTCATGGACATCAACAACACAGCTACAACATGAACTCACACGTTAACCCCGCCCGGCTGTGGTGCAGAGGGTAGAACCCAAACGCACCGGCACACATGAAGATTAACTAAAATAATGTCTCCACCCGGGTGATCTCCTCCAGAGTCCACACAGATCAGTCAGGTTAAAGCAGGTGTAGAAATCAAACGCACCCTCCTCAAGTTTGGGTTGGTTTGATTCGTGTTTCTGTGTTTCAGGAGCCGACCGGAGAGAAGACCAACAATGGGATCCATTACAAGCTGCAGCTGCTCTACAGCAACGGTGGGTACGCTCGTTTTACTGCACAGGACAGCCCGACACTGAAACATAAATAATGAATAATCAAACATCACAGAAGATAACGTTTCGTGTTTTTTCAGGAGTCAGAACGGAACAGGATCTTTACGTACGACTCATCGACTCCATGACCAAACAGGTGAGAATAAAGACGAGCAGGTGAAGTGATCAGCTGGTTCAGACTGCAGCTCGTCTCTTATTGACAGACAGAGATTTCAAAATAAGAGCGTGTTTCTCCTCCTGCACAGAGATTTCAAAATAAGAGCGTGTTTCTCCTCCTGCACAGAGATTTCAAAATAAGAGCGTGTTTCTCCTCCTGCACAGAGATTTCAAAATAAGAGCGTGTTTCTCCTCCTGCACAGAGATTTCAAAATAAGAGCGTGTTTCTCCTCCTGCAGTCTGAACTGTCAGATTATATTTCAGGACCATTTCATACTGAAACCTTCAACAGATTCTGACAGTTCTGTCTCTCCTCCTCTTCCTCCTCCTCCTCTTCCTCTTCCTCCTCTTCCTCCTCCCTCACCTCCTCTTCCTCCTCTTCCTCCTCTTCCTCCTCCCTCACCTCCTCTTCCTCCTCCCTCACCTCCTCTTCCTGCTCCTCCTCCTCCTCCTCCTCCTCCTCTTCCTCTTCCTCCTCCTCTTCCTCTTCCCTCACCTCCTCTTCCTCCTCCTCTCTCCTCTTCCTCCTCTTCCTCCTCCCTCACCTCCTCTTCCTCCTCCTCCTCCTCCCTCACCTCCTCTTCCTGCTCCCCTCCTCTTCCTGCTCCTCCTCCTCCCTCACCTCCTCTTCCTGCTCCTCCTCCTCCTCCTCTTCCTCTTCCTCCTCTTCCTCCTCCCTCACCTCCTCTTCCTCCTCCTCCTCCTCCTCCCTCACCTCCTCTTCCTGCTCCTCCTCCTCCTCCTCTTCCTCTTCCTCTTCCTCCTCTTCCTCCTCCCTCACCTCCTCTTCCTGCTCCTCCTCCTCCTCCTCCTCCTCCTCCTCTTCCTCTTCCTCTTCCTCCTTTTCCTCCTCCCTCACCTCCTCTTCCTCCTCCTCTCTCCTCTTCCTCCTCCTCCTCGTCAGCTCTCTGTCTGTCTGTCGCTTAGTGAGCAGCATATGAAGCATTTAAATCTAACGAGTCATTCAATTAGTGAGCCGTTAACGAGCGTGCCCGTCAGGCGTCACGTGGTCGTCTCGGTGTGGAATCAAAGCTTTTCATGTTTTTATTCCAGCTGACGTGAACGTCTGCAGCTGGAATCAAACATTCAGAGGATCAAATACATGCCTGCTCAGCTAACACAGTCAGTTAACCGCTAATAATGCTAATAGTGCTAATAATGCTAATAATGCTAATAATGCTAATAATGCTAATAATGCTAATTACCGCTCAGAATGATTCTAATGAAAGATGAAGAGAACGAAGAGTTTTTGCTTCTTAAGGAAATAAACTGTAAGGCAGTCAGACTCTGCAGAACACCTGTTCAGGTGTGTGCCTTCACCTGTTCAGGTGGTTCAGGTGTGTGCCTTCACCTGTTCAGGTGTGTGTCTTCACCTGTTCAGGTGGTTCAGGTGTGTGCCTTCACCTGTTCAGGTGGTTCAGGTGTGTGCCTTCACCTGTTCAGGTGGTTCAGGTGTGTGCCTTCACCTGTTCAGGTGTGTGTCTTCACCTGTTCAGGTGTGAGTCTTCACCTGTTCAGGTGTGTGCCTTCACCTGTTCAGGTGTGTGTCTTCACCTGTTCAGGTGTGAGTCTTCACCTGTTCAGGTGTGAGTCTTCACCTGTTCAGGTGTGTGTCTTCACCTGTTCAGGTGTGAGTCTTCACCTGTTCAGGTCTGTGTCAAGACCTTTGCAGGTGTGTGTTGAGACCTGTGCAGGTGGGTTTGAACACCTGAACATCTCACCTGTGTTTGTGTTCCAGGCCATCATCTATGAGGGTCAGGACAAGAATCCAGAGATGTGCCGAGTCCTGCTCACACACGAGATCATGTGCAGGTAAGAACACACCTGAACTGTTCAAGATACTGAACGTGGACTACACAAGTCCAACATGTAGAAACCAGGTGAGAGAACACCTGAACATGACATGTAGCAGGTTGAGACCCTCCTCCACCCGATCAGACTCTCACACCTAGGTGTTTAAAGAATACAACTGACTCTCCACCTGAGGACCAGGTCCACCTCCACCTGAGGACCAGGTCCACCTCCACCTGAGGACCAGGTCTGGAGAACAGCCGATCGAGTCCAGGTCTGAGTCTCGGTGTGACTGATCCAAATCAACTCTCTAAAAAGTCACACCTGAGTTGTAACCAAAGCAGAATTTAATCGATTTGAGTAAAAATCAAACGACATGAATACCCGTTTGTTACCATGGCAACATAAATAAAAGTCCTATTTACACAGTAGTGGACAATTTCTTGATTTAAATTGTCAAAAATTGCACAAAAAGATTGGCAACACCAATCTGAATGTTGCCAAAGCAGTTTTTCATGTTTGACTCTTCAGGTACACACCTTTCTTAGAGAAAGGATGTGGTTTTTTTTTCAAACTTTGGTACTTTTTGATGCTATTAATCAATAAGAAAACAGAGATTGTGTTTACAAGCTGACGAGCTCTGATTGGACCGATGAGATCTTTTACCTGTGATTTTAGTATAAACTGTAGTACCTGTATAACGTTCAGAGAGTTACCTGCCGTGTGCTTGGATGTTTTTTCAGAGAAATAAAAAAAAACCTTTTGACAGACATAGTTTTTATTATTCTGTTTTTGTCTGTGTGTCAGTCGCTGCTGTGATAAGAAGAGCTGTGGAAACAGAAACGAGACGCCGTCAGACCCCGTCATCATCGACAGGTACACACACACACACACACACACACACACACACACACACACACACACACACACACACACACACACACACACACACACGTTATCATGCAGCATGTGTTGATCGCTTCTGAATGTATTTCATGCTCTCTCACACACATTATTTTAATCGCAACGTATTTGTCTTGCATTGTGTAGATGTGTGTGTGTGTGTGTGTGTGTGTGTGTGTGTGTGTGTGTGTGTAGGTGTGTGTGCGTGCGTATAACTGTGTGTTTATAATTGAACATGTCAGTGTGTGTGATACTGTCATCATGACAGAGACAGAGTGAGTCTAACAACTGATACAAACAGGAAACAGTCGTGTTGTGCAGCACAATCAGCGTACTCCAACACAGCACAACAACACACACACACACACACACACACACATACACACACACACACTAACAACATACTGTACATGATGATCACGTCAGTGTGTATTTGTTCAGTCATTGCTGATTGCTGATTGGTTGTGAAGGTGTGTGACAAGTTAAAGGCACAGTATGTAAAATCCGCCACCAGGGGGCTATCGATCAAAACAATAACAAAAGGTGACGTTGAGGCTGGCGGGGAATCATGGGAGTGATTCTCTGCTACTTCGCCACGGTGGAAGAGAATGAAGAGAATATGTTTACAGATGAGCTCATTTCTTACTAATCAAGATATTTGAAAACATCATCATAAAATTATACATATTAAACGCTTAACATGTAGTTTATATAAAGTGTTTGACTCTGTCCTGGTCTGATCAGGATCCTTTCCTAAGACTCAAACTGAACACATCCTCCTCCTCCTCCTCCTCGTCTGACTTTCTCCCCCTCCTTCACCCCCCCCCCCTCCCATGAGGAATCAAACACTCTCCTCCCTTTTTTCACCTCCCCCTCCTCTCTTCACCCTTCCTCACAATCTCCCCTTGAGTATTACTCTCATTCCTTCCTCTACCTTGTCTCTCAGACTGAAGGGGGGGGGGGGGGGGCGCTGGAAGAATGGAGTAATGGATGGATGACGGTTGGATGGATGTTAGATGATTAAATAATGGTTGGAGGATGGATGGATGGATGGCTGGATGTATGATGGATGGACGGCTGGATGAATGGATGATGGTTGGATGGATGTTAGATGATTCAGTAATAGTTGGAGGATGGATGGATGGATGGATGATGGATGGACGGCTAGATGTATGGATGGATGATGCTGCAATAATTATAAGGAGGAGTGTTGATATTACGTTGTCTCCTTTTTCCCCTAATGCATGATGGGAAGGTTTCTTGTGATTTTGGGCGGCGTTGGATGGACGAAGGTTATTTGAATGGATGGTTGGATGATGGACTATAAGGCGCCCCTGAGCAAGAACATTAGCCTCCGCAGCAAGCTGCCCCGTAATCCCAACATGATATAAAATGGGGTCAATGCCGTTCTCATTTTAGAGCATCGATAAATGACCCATGTAAAGATTTTAAACTGAAGTAAAGTTTTAATTTTAAGTTTGAATAGTCAAGTCTTTTTGTATTTTAAATAAGTCTTCATCACAGTGTTTGTGTCACTGCGGTCTGTATGGGAGAAATTAGCGCCTGAATGGAGTTTTTTATCGAGTGTAGGTTCGTGTCCTCCTGAAGGGTCCCGCCCCTCAGGTTGAGCCTCTCAGGTTCTTTGTTGTATGTGAAGTCAGGGGGGGGGGGGCGCTGGCGGGACGATCTCCCGCCTGAACACTGACTGTGAGAACGTTTTAAACACCGTGATCTCCAGACTTTGCTCTCGATCGTCTGAACCCGACAACGACGATGATGGTGGACCTCCTCTCATCTCTTCACACTCTGAATACCTGATTTTTTTTTTGTTTTGGGGGGGGGGGGACTTTCCTGTCTCTGGTGAGTGCAGTGAGGGATTATGGGAGGACTGCGTGCTGTCAATCATTTAGCAGCGTAGGTGTGATTTCCCTTCATGCTGCAGGTCGGCTTTGGATGGAATCTCATTACCGGCCGTGTTTCAGGGTGACTGACAGCAGAATAATGTTTGGGGCCCCCGGGGGCCCCGCACGGCTAAATGTTAAATGTATGAATGCATGAGAGTCAATGGAGAGATGAAGTGTGGATGAATATTTTTTATTCCTGAGAAACAGTCACAGAATGACGAGTGTGACCCTGAACACACCACCTGCTGCTGTTTCACCGCTCAGACACAATGGAACAAAACGACACACAAGATACACAACTACACACAAGATACACAACTACACAACTACACACAAGATACACAACTACACACAACTACACAACTACACACAAGATACACACAACTACACAACTACACACAAGATACACAAATACACACAAGATACACAACTACACACAACTACACACAAGATACACAACTACACACAATTACACATAACTACACACAACAATCCACATTTAACACAACAGACAACGATAGACAATGATAAACAAAAATTCACACGAATCAAAATAGCGAACACAATGATACAAAACACGACATGTAACGAAACACGACACGAAACACGAAACGTAACAGAACACGACACGTAACGAATCGCAACGACACGTAACGAAACGCAACGACACGTAACGAAACACGACACGTAACGAAACACGACACGTAACGAAACACAACACGTAACGAAACACGACACGTAACGAAACACGACACGTAACGAAACACAACGACACGTAATGAAACACAACGACACGTAACGAAACACGACACGTAATGAAACACAACAACACATAATGAAACACAACGACACGTAACGAAACACGACACGTAATGAAACACAACGACACGTAATGAAACACAACGACACGTAATGAAACACGACACGTAACGGAGCACGACACGTAACAAAACACAACGACACGTAACAAAACACGACACGTAACAAAACACAACGACACGTAACGAAACACGACACGTAACAAAACACAGCGTCGCGTAACAAAACACAACGACACATAACGAAACACAACGACACGTAACGAAACATGACACATAACAAAACACAACGACACGTAACAAAACACAACGACACGTAACGAAACACGACACATAACGAAACATGACACGTAACAAAACACAATGACACATAACAAAACACAACGACACGTAACGAAACACGACACATAACGAAACACAACGACATGTAACGAAACACGACACGTAACGAAACACGACGTGTAACGAAACACGACGCGTAACGAAACACGACGCATAACGAAACACGACGCGTAACAAAACACGATGCGTAACAAAACACAATGACACATAACGAAACACGACGCGTAACCAAACACGACACCTAACAAAACACAATGACACGTAACGAAATACAACGACACGTAACGAAACACGACGCGTAACGAAACACGACCCTTAACGAAACACGACGCGTAACAAAACACGATGCGTAACAAAACACAATAACACATAACCAAACACGACGCGTAACCAAACACGACACCTAACAAAACACAATGACACGTAACGAAATACAACGACACGTAACGAAACACGACGCGTAACGAAACACGACCCTTAACGAAACACGACGCGTAACAAAACACGATGCGTAACAAAACACAACGACACATAACGAAACACGACGCGTAACCAAACACAACACCTAACGAAGCACGACACGTAATGAAACACAATGACACGTAACGAAACATAACGACACATAACGAAACACGACGTGTAACCAAACACGACACCTAACAAAACACAATGACACGTAACGAAATACAACGACGCGTAACGAAACACGACGCGTAACGAAACACGACGCGTAACAAAACACAACGACACGTAACAAAACACAACGAAACGTAACAAAACACAACGAAACGTAACAAAACACGACGTGTAACAAAACATGACGCGTAACGAAACACGATGCGTAACGAAACACAATGACACGTAACAAAACACGACACATAACGAAACATGACACAACAAAACACAACGACACATAACAAAACACAACGACACGTAACGAAACACGACACATAACGAAACACAACGACATGTAACGAAACACGACACGTAATGAAACACGACGCGTAACGAAACACGGCGCGTAACGAAACACAACCCTTAACGAAACACGACGCGTAACAAAACACGATGCGTAACAAAACACAACGACACATAACGAAACATGACGCGTAACCAAACACGACACCTAACAAAACACAACGACACATAACGAAACATGACGCGTAACCAAACACGACACCAAACACAATGACATGTAACGAAATACAACGACACGTAACGAAACATGACACGTAACGAAACACGACACATAACGAAACACGACACGTAATGAAACACAACGCGTAACAAAACAACGACATCTAACGAAACACGACACGTAACGAAACACGACGCGTAACGAAACACGACGCGTAACGAAACATAACGACACGTAACGAAACACGACACGTAACGAAACACGACACGTAACGAAACATAACGACACGTAACGAAACACGACGCGTAACAAAACACAACGACATGTAACGAAACATGACACGTAACGAAACACGACACGTAACGAAACACGACACGTAACGAAACACGACGCGTAACGAAACACAACGACGCGTAACAAAACACAACGACACGTAACAAAACACAACGACACGTAACGAAACACGGCACCTAACGAAACGTAACAAAACACGACGCATAACGAAACATGACGCGTAACGAAACACGATGCGTAATGAAACACGACGCGTAACGAAACACGACACGTAACAAAACACAACGACACGTAACGAAACACAATGACACGTAACGAAACACAATGACATGTAACGTAACACGACACGTAACGAAACACAACACGTAACGAAACACAATACGTAATGAAACGCAATGACATGAAACGAAACACAACGACACGTAATGAAACACAACGACACGTAACAAAACACAACGACACGTCACAAAACACAAC